TCATAATAATCTTATATAACACCTAACCATAACGAAAGCAATGTTGTCAATATAAATTTGTTAAAGAAGACTTTATGTCTCCAACAAAGACCCGTATTTTTGCGTGTTTAGACTTCAGAGCACAATAGATGCACTAACGGTGTAAATAATTTTGCGTCTGCTGTACGCCTCCATAGAGACAATCACCATACGGTAAACCTACCCTCTCCCTCAACAAAAATTAAGAGTCAATGCCAATTTTCTGTTAGGGGATTTTTATATTAATTTCTATATATTTTAAAAATAATTTATTTTAAAATAATTTTAATGTGCATCTCTCAAATTAAATTGATATATTTAAAAAAAAAATTAATTGTATTATATGTTGAACTCAAAAATTTTAACCTTTAAACTGCAATTATTGCTTGAATCATTTGATAATAATATTTTTATTGTTTATTCAATATTTATAAGTTTTTGAACTTGTCACCTCCCCTCGATATGCTCATCTCTTGTACAGTGCTTACTTATTAATTTTGGAACATATATGCTATCAGTGAATATATATTATTCTCTCCCAAAATGCTCTCAGTCAAATTTGGCTTACTATACATATTTTAAATTAATTCAATATTCTTGTGCACTAAATCTAAAAGTATTAATTATTCGTATATTTCTTTAAAAAAAAAAAAAGAATTCATGGAGGTGTGGGTCTGTGGTTACCTTAAGTGCGGCGCCTCCCCATTCCTTTCCTCCTCCCTTGTCTCTTCCATTCCATCCCTTCTGCAGAGGTCCCTCCTCTTTTGCACTTGTTTGTCATGATGCGTTGCAGGTTTCTCAGCTTATGAATAGGTTTTTTTCTCTTCCCTTAGCACAACAGATGTTACCTCACTACAAGTGAATTAGTACATGAATTTGCTCCAACTTAGATGTTATTAAACTTGTTTATTTTAATTTAATATTGCTGAATGTTTAGCAACTAAAATTGAGAACCAAATCGAATTGGTGGGGTTAAAGGAGTCTACAGTAGTGTTCTTATGTGAGACTTTACTGGATAAAAGAGGTATAGAGAAAGTTCGACAAAGACTAGGTTTCACTCACTGTTTTGTAGTGGACAAAGTAGGGCACAATGGTGGTTTAGCTGTGCTTTGGAAACCTGACACCAAATTATCACTACTCTCTTTCTCTCAAAATCACGTTGATATGGAGGTGGAAGGCATGGAAGTTGGCACTTGGCATTTCATAGGCTACTATGGCCACCTTGAGAGACATAATTGGAGGCGTTCATGGCAACTTTTAAGAGAATTAGCCACTAAATTTGATCTACCATGGTTTTGATCAGGGGAGACTTTAATGATCTTTTACACTCAAATGAGAAGTTAGGAGGAAACCCCCAATCGAAGTGGATGCTACAAGGATTTCAAGAGGTGGGGGAGGTATGTAACTTAGCCGAAGTACAAATGGTTAGTGGCCACTTCACTTGGCGTCGAGGATGAGTGGAAGAGAAGTTAGACAGATCCCTAGCCACGCCCACCTGGCGAGCTTTATTTCCTCGAGCAAAAGTCAGACTATTGCCCCCTCTATCTTTTGACCACTCCCCTCTATGGATTACTCTTAATAGTCATTATAAGAGAAGGAATAGATGTAGAAAGACATTTCAGTTTGAAGATATGTGGCTTCGGGATCCTAACTGTACTAAAATAGTAAAATCTAGTTGGAGCTCTATTGTACGTGAGGGGAACTGGAACTATCTACTGCAAAAAAATCAACCTCTGTTCTACAAATCTCCAAGGTTGGAATACTTCACACTTCGGTCATGTGCAAACACGACTTAAGCAATGCATAAAGAGACTCAAATATTTGAGAAACAAATCCCCCTCAATAACAGCTCAAGATGAAGAGAAGAAGGTGCTTGCAGAAACAAAGGAATGGCTAGAAAGGGAGGAACTTATATGGCGACAGCATTCAAGAGAAATATGGTTGTAAGAGGGGGACCGAAACACACGATTCTTTCACAAGAGGGCATATAAAAGACGAGATAGAAATAAGGTAGAGAAACTAATGAATGCAGAAGGTGAATGGAAGTATGAATTTGCAGAGTTGCAGAGCATAGCTATGTGCTATTTCTCTTCTTTATTTTCATCCATCTCCCCTAATAATATTGAACAAGTGACCTCCTATTTAAGCCCTCGGGTCACTGAAGTTGATAATGCTTTCCTGCTCCAAATGTTCATAGAAACAAAGATCAAGAAGGCATTGCATCAAATGCATCCTTCAAAGGGCCCTAGGCCTGATGGGCTTTCGTCGGGTTTTTTCCAACGCTTTTGGGATGTGGTGAAGGCAGATGTTGTACTGCCATGTCTAGAGTTCTTAAACCATAAAGGTGCGATTCCGTTGGAGCTAAATTTCACCCATATTGTGCTCATCCCAAAGTGTAATGAACCTAGAACTATGGCTGACTTGTGGCCAATTAGCCTTTGTAATGTTATTTACAGGATTATAGCAAAGGTCATAGCCAACAAACTTAAGATGGTATTGCAAAAAGTAATTTCCCAAGAACAGAGTGCTTTCTTGCCAAATCAATTGATTACTAATAATTTTATGATTGCTTATGAAATCCTCCAATATATGAGAACTAGGAAGGTGAGGAAGTGGGGTTGGCAGGCTGTTAAGTTGGATATGAGCAAGGCTTTTGATCTGGTTGAATGGCCATACTTAGAGCAAGTTATGGGAGCTATTGGTTTTGCTGAAGGTTGGATCAGGCTAATCATGCGCTGTGTCTCATCAATCAACTATAAGGTTTTGTTAAATGGTAGAGAAGCAGGGCAAATCACTCCTACTTGAGGCTTGAGGCAAGGCGATCCACTATCACCTTACTTATTTATTTTATGTGCAGAAGGTCTCACAACCATGCTAACTAAAGTTGTAAATAGGAAAAGTTTGCATAGCATCCAAATATGTTGGCGAGCGCCTAAAATTTCCCACTTGTTCTTTGCTGATGATAGTTTTCTCTTCTTGCGTGCTATAGAGACTGAGGCAACTAATTTAACGGCTATTCTATGGAGTTATGAGTCTGCTTCTAGCCAAAGTGATCAATCTGCAAAAATCCTCCATTACTTTTAGTAGCAACATACAACAAAGGGCACGTAGTCGTATCTCTCAAATCTTGGGCATGACAGAGGTCGAGCAACTAGGCAGATATCTCGGTTTCCCTACTTATATTGGTAGATTGAGAACAACCATTTTTGCGGGCCTAAAGAGCAAGTTTTGGGCACGAATAAGTGAGTGGAGATAATAGCCGCTATTTAGAGCTGGTTGCAAAATTCTCATAAAATTAGTGCTATAGTCTCTCCCAACTTATGTGATGAATCTTTTTCTTCTGCTTGTAACTTTATGCACAGAGCTAGAGCATATCTTGAATAGATACTGGTGGGGAAGAGGTGAAGATGAACATAAGATCCATTGGATGGAATGGAGGAAGCTTGCGACCTCGAAGAAAGCAAGAGGATTAGGCTTTCGAGCTATGCGTGAATTCAACCTGTCTATGCTCGGGAAGCAAGGCTGGAGGTTGTTGACATGTCCTGATTCCTTAGCAACGAGACTCATGAAGGCCAAATATTTTCCTTGTACGGATTTTTTACATGCAGAACTTAAATCACCTTGTAGTATTACGTGGAGGAGCATCTAGTACTCATCTAACTTACTAAAGCAAGGCTGTAGACGATTGATTGGTGATGGTCGTAGTACTGAAATTTGGAATGACCTATGGCTTCCGGGTAATGAGCAATTTTATGTCCAGTCGCCACGGCTTGAAGGTTGTACCCTTCGTTTTGTAAGTGAGCTAATTGATGAAGAGACAACCTCATAGAGGAGGGATTTGGTTCTCAAGACCTTCAATGCACATGAAGCCCAACTGATATTAGCAATGTCGTTGAGTTGGATGCGATAGGAGGATAATTGCTTGTGGCATTTCACCAAGCATGGAAGTTACACAGTACGATCTGGGTACCATAGAGCTATTAATATGGCTAGAAATCACGTTAGGCCGTCTGCATCCTCCACAATCTTTGGCGGCAACCGATTGTGGTCCTTAGACATCCCAGAGAAGGTGCGATTGTTTATCTGGAGTGCTTACAAAAATGTTATTCCCACAAAGGACAATCTTCACAAAAAGAGGGCAGAGGTGGATTTAGAGTGTTCGATGTGTGGTATGGAGAAAGAATCTGTCTTTCACTCCCTTATGTCATGCTCCCTTGCTCGTACAGTATGGTTAGGATGCCCTTTGAACCTTCATGTATCTAAACTCCAGGTTGATGACTTTGCAACTTTTTTTGATAACACAGCATGCATTTTGGGGAAAGAGCAATTTGAACTCTTCTACTTGTTGTGTTGGAGCTTATGGAATTGCCGAAATGATGCTCTATGGAACAGAAATGGCATTAATCCCCAGCAAATCATCCAACAAACCTTGACTTTATGATAGAATACAAGAAATCTGTATATCAAGAGGCAGAGGGGCTACAGTAATGCAGAAGGCCACTAAAACTAGATGGCACCCACCAGACTTGGGTTTTATAAAGCTAAATGTAGATGGAGCAACATCTGTCCAAAGCGCAGCCTTCGGTATGGGTGCATTGGCGCGGAATGATTCAGGGGAGGTGCTGGCAACTATGGCGTGCAAAGGACAAGGAGCAGCGGAACCTGAAGTTGTTGAAGCCTGCAGTCTACAGAGCTCTCTCCACTGGGCTCAATCCCTTGCATTTGGAAGAATTATAGTAGAATCTGATTGTGCAACCATTGTGTCAGCAATCACCAGTGAAACCTTCAACATGAACTCCAGCTTAGGCCTCATTCTTCTTGATTGCAAAGCACTATTAGCCTCTTTCAAGTCGTGCCGGTTACAACATGTCCGCCGAACTGCTAATGCTGTTGCTCACGAGCTTGCACGAAGAGCACTTACTACTGAGGCTAATGAGTTTTGGGTGGATGACATACCATTTCCCATTGAGCATATTGTAACAGGAGATCAATCCCTTATCTGAATATGTACTTCCTGTTCTTACAATCTTAACATATGTACTTCCTGTTCTTACAATCTTAACAAAGCTCGCATATGGCTTTCCAATCAAAAAAAAAAAAAAAAATTGAAAACCAAAAACAGTAACAAAACTAAACAAAGATTTAGATCATTATAATTTAGTAAAATTAAATAGGTAAACATCCTATGCAAAATTAAGAATTACTTTTTATGAGATCCTCAAAAACTAACTAAAAAAAAAAAAAACCAAAAAACGAAAAACAAAAACACTATACTTTCATTCTATTTGTGAACCCCTTTAAAATGTTGGTTTGATGGTGGGCCACAAGAAATCCTTTGTGTTTGGTGGCCTATTAAGGCACATGAGCCTGTGTTCCTAATTTTGGTCTAATAGACCAACCACGTGTTGAGTATTGGGCTTTGAGAAAGTGACCGAAATACGATCCTACACTATTTTATAAGGTTGAGCGTGGGTATCGGTATATCTGATATCTATGAGTATTTGATTTGTTTTGTTAGGTATTTTATCTGTACATGTGAAGAAATAAGTAAATATCGAGTATGACAAATGTATACATGTTAAGTGTCAGATAAGTATTAGGTATAACGGTCAATACCTGTATAGCTGATCCATGTATCTGACCTATATATCTGACCCATATCGCTGACCTATATTCTAGTTTTATATGGTTAATTTATAATATAATATTATGAAATTAAAATATTTTCTTTTCTTTTCTTTGGGCAGTGAAGATTTAACTGAAGGGAAATCATGTAAATTTTTGTTTGTATTTCTTTTGTTATTATATATATAAACTTGTGTATGTGTGAATGTATATACTTACATATTTTATTTTATAGATAAACTTGTATTATACGTATGAACTTGTAATTATATATTAACTTATGTATTTTAAATGTAAAATTTAAAGAGTATACAGGTATACCTTAGGGTATAGCTGTACCCAACAAGTTAGATAACGGGTATAAATTTTCAATATCTAAGCATTGAATATCGAAATCTTGTACCAGTCACTGCTCAAGTTAAGTACAAGAATGGGCAAATACTTGACTCATATCTACCCATGCTCCCCATTACGTATTTTGTGCTGTCCTCTAATCTAGGCAAAAACTTACTTTTAACTCCTTACCTTACCAATTTTGAAGGTTTTAGCCCCCACCTTATACTATGCCATTTTTAACCCCTCAGTTTATTAGATTTATAGGTTTTAGCCCATCACCTATTAAATCAAAGAAAATAGCTCTCATTTTATACTGTCTGTTAACTCTGTTAGCTGAAAGTAGGTTTCTGTCAACTAATAGTCAATTAATAGAATTAACAAAATATTATAAAATTAGTTCTGTTAACTCTATTAACTGAAAGAAGATTTTTATAAACTAACAATCAACTAATAGTCAATTAACATAACTAATCAAATGTTACAAAGTGAGGGTTATTTTTTTCAATTTTAATAGGTGAGGGGTTAAAAGTATCATTGTATAAGGTGAGGGGTTAAAATATACAAATATAATAAAATAAGGGACTAAAAATGTTATAATATAAAGTAAAGAGTTAAAAACTTCAAATTTGATAAGGTGAGGGGCTCATAGTAAGCTTTTGCCTCTAGCCCATGGGCATGGATGTTTCTACGCCTCCAGGCCCTTAACTTCTTCACCAATGATTTTGTCCAATTCATGGGCCCTAACAAGAGCCAAATCAATTATACCAAATCTAAAACATGTCACCAGTAAAAACCAAGAGTTACATGTTTGATCTTTGGAAGTAACTAGAAAAATCGATCCTCCGCGAGTTGTGCAGTTCATGAAAACTAGTGATCGGTACAAAATTTAATTCAAATTATACTTCTTGTATTAAAGCAAGAAGAGAAGACTGAGTATACAAACTCTCCTTTTTGTAGTAGGGGGATAGACTGCCGTATGCTTGGTTGCTCCTTCATTCGGGGCCATGAAATGAAAACCTGATGGGCAAAGCAGTGGATTGTCAACTCATGGTATGCATGGACTTTGTTTTTATTCCAACTCAAGGTGCACGATTTTGAGCATGATAATGATCTTGATTAATTGCTTTTTTGATTGAATTAATTACTATATTAATCCAATTGAAGTGGAACAAGATTCTGTGAAATTTTTTAGCGAAGAAAACCAAATCCATAACGACCTTACCATGACGATTGTGTTTGGTGAATTACTTAAAATAGCGGCTTTTCTCTTTGAAATTATTTAGCTAGATGAATTGTTAAAGCATTCTAATTGTTTTTGCTCTAGTGTCTTAGAAAATTTTAACGTAAAATTGGGTACTAATTAATCTCAAAAACAAGGAGCTAAACCATGTTCATTAATAAATATTTTACATATACACATTACAAATATATTAAAAACTAAATGATTGAATGAAACCTTAAACAAAACCTAAATTTAAAACTATTGTGCCAGAACATAATGAAAAATTAACACAAATTGCTTGAAAAAAAAAACAAATCCACTTTAAACTTCCAAACTCAAGGGGTGGGCTCTCAAAATTTTCAAGGTTTTCGTTTTGCAGTTTGAACAAACTGCAAAACAACAAACTTTTCTTTAAAATAATATAAATCGGCTGTTATGATGAAGAACTATCTGATTTTTCTTTTCCTGTAGCACATTGGAGCTAAAGCTATAACTCATCCATGTAATATTTTCTTAATTTAAAGTTATTTATCTCGCCAGTGTTAATAATTAATCATTCCAACTATACCTCTTGCCCGTTGCATTAGCATCTGTCTGAAAATAGATGAAATTTCCCGGTGCCATGACTCTAGGGATGCAACTAGTTGCAGTCTTCATTGGAAGCTCTGGCGTTTCCTTAAGTTATAATTTTGAGAGTTTGCCTAATTTGTAACTTTTGTTTAATTTATACTTTTAAAATATAATATAATAATACATTTATTATATTTTTTATTATTAATTTTTATAAAAAATTATGAAAGTCTATTTTATTTTCAACACCAATGTTACGTAAAACATTTCAATTAAATAATTGATAAAATTAAAATTAATTTTTATTTCTTTTACAAATTAATGGTAAAAAGTGTAATAAATATATTTTTAGGACACATATTAAAAAATTCTTAATTTTAATTATGAGAATTTGTAAACTAACTAATCAAAATTAAACTGAATTTGACTTAAAATTTTCAAACATGAGTTCATAATTTTTTATCATCTTATGCACGGTTTTCTAATTCTGTTGCCTGAGCATCATTGACTCCTTCCATTGTAATACCTTCAGGACACTTTTACTACAACAAAATTATCAGGTAATTATGACCATTAATAACTGTGGCAAGTAGAACTCAGCAGAAGCTTACCAATATACCTTAAAATTAGTAAAATTGGCGTGAATTTGTTATATCTTAATTTTAAAGTAGATCTTTAATTTAATTAAGATCTAACCTTTTCTCCCCTAACATATTTGATAATTTAATTTTCAATTGCT